GCTGCCTGGCCTGCTGTATTCCTCCAGCTCACTGTGTAATCTCATTAGATTTATATTTGTTTTATTTTTATAAATCATCCCTGGCTTTCTCTGTTATGTATATTAAAGCATGTGTGACAGCTGACATGTTGAACTGCCTGCTGTGTTGTTCCAGTTGTTGCAGTTATAAGAAGGATGTGATTGCAGAGGAGATTTACCAGGATAGTGCCTGAGCTGGAGAATCTGAGCTTTAAGGAAAGATTGGATATGCTGGTGTTTATTTCCTTGGAGCAAAGAAGGTTGAGTGGGAATCTGATAGAAATATTTAAGATTGAAGAGCACAGGGCAAATTCAAAGGAACCTCTTCCTTTACTAGGGGAGCCAATAACAATGTGGATAGATTTAAAGTAAACTAAAGAAGGTTAAGAGGACAGTAGAGGTGAATTTTTTTTAACCCAGAAGGTGGTGGGAATCTGGAACTCACTGCTAGACAGGGTAGTTGAGTCAGTAAGTCATGTAACGTTTAATCAGTATTTAGATATTCACTTGGCTTTCCATAGCGTCAAGGGCTATTGGCCAAGTGTTGGAATCTTATATTAGTGCAGTCAGATCTTCATTGGCACGCACAGAGATGATGAGCTGAATGGTTTCCTTCTGTGCTATAAGTCCTAATGCCAACCCAAATAAGACTTCCCTTTGTTTAGAGTACACATGAATGAATGCAGACTAAATTATTTTTGACTGAAAATCCTTCTTCATAGTTTATTTAAATGTAATTCCCAGGAAGTGGGTATCACTGAAAAGATCAACATTTGATTATCATTTCTTCTCGTACTTAAGATGATAGAATTGCATCTTTGAGCCATTTCAGTACTTGTGAAGGTACTTGTACAATGCAAGATTTTGACTGTGAGAATTAAGGAATACCAGTTATATATTGAAGTTGGGTTTTTTTTATTGCTCACCAATTGTAGCCTGATCCCTGCTCACTGAAATAATGCCATTAAATATTTTGCACCTATTTGAGGGCAAATGGGGCCTTCCATCTTAACTAAAAGACTGCAGCACTCCTTCAGTAACGTACTGGATTATTAGCTGTGTTTTTTGTGCTGAAGTCCTGTTGTGGGATCATGAGCTTGCAACAGTGTGGCTCAGGGGAGAGTGTAACCAATTGAGCCACAGCCAGCCATGCATTTGTTTTTGCCTTAATTGGTGGTATTTGGGAGTTACTATAAGTCCAATTTGTTATTCACTATTTAATCATTCAAAATTAACCTGCAACTAATATGGTGGATTTGTTGAGGTTGATCAAAATATAATTTGGGATATAAGTAAGGAAGGCAAATGGAATTTTAACAATTATTGCTAAAGGAATAGAGTGTAAAGATAGGGAATGGTTGCTGAAAATGTACAAAGTATAATTGAGACAGCACCTGGAATATTGCATACAATTTTGGTCCCCTTGCTTGAGGGATGAAGTTATATTGGAGGCAGTTCAGAGGTGGGTCACATGATTGATTTCAGAAATTAGCTGTTTGTCTGAAGAAGAGAAATTGAGCAGTTTAATCTCCTATACTCTCTAGAGTTTAGAACAATGAGAGGAGATCTAACTGAAGAATTAGATTTAGGTTTCCAATGATTTAAGATGGATGGAGAGTCGGATCCTAAGCCTGAGCTTGTCTGCTCTGTACGGTTCTTCTTCCTCTTTTCATTTTTTAATTCTTTTTCTTTTTTTTTCTCTACTTACCTCCATTCCTCAGATGGCATGATTAGTGGAGAGTTGAGCCAGCGTGGACTCCCGGCCTCGTCGAGGAAGCCCAGAGCGTACGCCGGGCCTCAAGGTGAAGCTCAGCATGGACTCCCTGCTTCAGAAAGACTGTAATACTGAACTTTTACCTTTTATTTCCTTATTTTTCTAATTTATACCCATGATTTTGTACCTCAGTATCTTTGTACCTAGCTTTATAAGGACTGTAATGATGATCTTTTAACTTTTTTTTTCATTTTTCTGCTTTATACCTAACATTTTGTTGCTAGGTATCTTTGTACCTAAGGTGGTGCCGGAAATGGCAACCTTGACCATTTTTCACTGTACTCCTAAATCCCTGTACTGCAGTACATTTGACAATAAACCTAGGCTAATTCTGATTGAGGTATGTAAGATGCTAAAAGGAAATGACAAAGTATACATAGAAAGGATGTTTCATCATGGGTCATCGTTTTAGGATAGGGGTAGCAAATTTAAAGCTGACGATGCAAAATTACTTCTTCAAAGGGTCATGAATCTATGGAATTCACTACTCCATACTGTGCTGTATGCCAGTACAGAGTAAATTAAAGGAGGCAATGAACAGTTTATTGAATTAGTAATGGGTTGAAGAGTCATGGACAGCAGGCAAGAAAGTTGAGTTCAGGCCAAGATGAGATCAGCCAATGATCCTACTGAATGGCAGCTTAGGCTCAAATGGCTCAATTGCCTTCTCCTGCTCAGGTTTTCATGTTCTTATAACACACCAGATAGTCAGCAAAAACATAAATCACAACAAGCAGTAAGGGTCTTGTAGTGCAGTGGTAGTGTCCCTACTTCTGGACCAGCAGACTTAGGCTTAGCTCCCATGCACTCCAGAGGTGTGTATTATCTATGAACAGGTTGATTAAATATAAAAAAAAAGACAGACGACTGACTCCGAGCTAAAAAGAAACGTAAAAAAAGACAAGAGCAAGTACTGGTGCAGGTTAGGCAGGATGGATGGCCTGCATGAAGATCTTTTTATTCCAGCTCCAGCCTTTGAAGGTTAACTTGCAGAAATTTCCATCACTGATGGTTGAAGGCATGTAAATATTTACTTCCAAGTATGTAAGGCCTGTTAAGGAACTGTTCATAATGGCCATTCAGTTGATTTGTTCTCATTCATATCATACCTTTGATTCAGGGCTAACCACTAAAGTAACCTCTTTTCTACTCCTCCTCCACCACCAACCCCCTCCTCACTCTGCCATATACACAAAATAATTAACTTGTATTTAATTCAAGTGACATTTGTGCCATGCAGATGCCAGGCAATGGCCAACTCCAATAAAAGACAATCTAATCCCTGCCCCTTGGCATTCAATAGCATTCCCATTGTTGAATCTCCCACTAATCTATGCCATGCGGTTTATCATTGATCAGAAGCTGAACTGGACTCGCCACATAAACACAGTGATTACAAAAGCAAGTCAGAAGCTTGGAATACTGCAGCAATTAGTCGCCTCTTTAATCCGAAGCCTTCCACCATGTACAAGTCACAAGTTAGAAGTCTGTTGGAATACTCCCTACATCCCTGTATGACTGCATCGCTTGACACCATCCAGGACAATTCAGGGCTTTAATTGTTAACAGATCAAAACAGATCTTTTAAAAGTCAGTCATTCCACCACTGATGCCTATTAACAGCATTGTGTACCATCTACAAGATACACTTCAGAAGTTTGACAAAGATCCTTAGGCCAGACCTTCCAAACCCTTGACCACTTCCATCAAGAAGGATGACAGTGGTAGGTATATGGGAACGCCACCACCTGCAAGTTCCCCTCCAATCCACTCTCTATCCTGAGTTGGAAATATATTGCCATTTCTTCACTGTTGTGACAAGATCCCGTAATTCCCTCCCTAAGGGTGTTGTGGGTCTACCTACAGCACATGGCCTGCAGTGATTCAAGAAGGCAGCTCACTTGCACCTTCTCACGGATAACTTGGGACAGGCAATAAATGCTGGCCCAGCCATCAAACCCCATCTCCCAGGAGAGATTTTTTTTAAAAATCCCTATTAAGTAGGCATAGCCGAAAAAAAAATAGATTTTGAATTCCCCAAGCCTCAATGAAACATGGACTGGAATACCGGATAAAGCTACGACTAACTTTATATTGGCAGTTTGTAACCATTGGCCGTACCAGCGCTATGTATGTGCGACATTGGCGAATGTTTTTTGAGATACTGTCGCTCCCGTTTTAAAATATTTCAGGCTGCGGAGCTAAAGGAACGGCGCAATTAACAGGTAATTGTTTTAAATCCACATATTGATATCGTTTGCAGAGTATTTGCACAGCTCCACATTGATACGGAGACAATTTCAGTGCAATGTCTGTCCCGCCCTGTTGGATGATTGACTGAATATAGGGTCAGAGCCAAAGTGTGCGACTGGTTGCTCGGTTACTGCATTCACTGCGTTTTGTGTGGAAAGTGAAGCCATTGCCGGAGCGTTTTGTTTGCTGCAAGTTACCGGGTGAGTGAAATCTGCTTAATTCTAATGTGCAAAGAGCACCTGCAAATGTATGATGCTTCCGTGTTCGTAAACCCTTACCCCGTGTGCAATTCACTGATACTCTTTCCCAAAGGTTAACGATATCTGCTAAATGCCATGTGAAATGGAAACTTCGTTGTTCAGTGTCTTTCTCAAAATGCGCAGCGACCCGGAATTTGGAAATTGTTTTAGATGCAGATTTGCCAGCTGGCGTTCTATATTATAACCTGGAGAGAAAAAAAAATCCAGGGCCAAATACTTACCAATTCTTACCGCGACTCCGAAGAATTGCAAAAGCACAATACTGCGAATGTTAGAAATCTGAAATAGCAGAAAATGCTCAATGAGACGGTAGTAATGTCACTGAATTGTAAACCAGGGTCAGGACTCATGTTCTGGGCTCAGGGGGTCAAATAGCTGGTGGAATTTAAGGTCAATTAGTACATCTGGGATTGAAAACTATTCCACAAATTCTTATCGATTGTCATAAAATCCCATCTGACTCACTAATGTCCTCTAGGAGAGGAAATTTACAATCCTCACCCTGGTCCAGCCTATAGGTGACACCAGACAGCAATCTGGTTGACTTTTCAGTGCGGTCTGCAATAACCTAGCAGATCACTCAGTTGTGTGAAACTACTGTGAATTAAAAAAAAAGGAAATGGAGGGTTGTGCTAAAATTGGGAGACTTTCATGGAACAGCCTGATGTAGTCATACCCATGCAATCTATACAGACGATGTCCTGAACACCACCATCACCATCCTATACCACTGGCAAGACAGATGCACAGAGGTGACAATCAGGAGACAGATGCCCAGGAATCCTTAACATGGAATCCAGACTCTATTCAGTCTCATGGCACCAGGCAAGGAAACCACCTGCTGATTACCACACACCACCTCTACCACATACCCCTCATCGCACCTACAGCTGATGAATCACTTTTGCTCCATGTTGAACGCCAATTGGAGGAAGCACTGAGGGTGGAAAGGACACAGAATGCACTCTGGGTGGAGAGACAACTTTGATGTCAACTACTGATCAACTGACATAGCTGCTAGACTGGTCTGTGGCAGGTAGTGAGGGAAAAATACAGTTGATCTGATCTTCACCATTCTACCAGTTATAAATCCTTCTGTCCATCTACAACATTGTCAGAAGAAGTAATTCCGCACAGTCCTTTTAGATCTCCATGTGAGGATGCCCTCCTTCATGTTGTGCAGCACTCTGACTCTGCTAAGTGGGATAGATTTCAAATGGATCTAGCAACTTAAAACTAGCCATCCACAAGGAACTGTGGGCAACCAGCAGCAACAGAATTATGTTCAAAGACAATCTGTAAACTCATGGCCTATAATATCCATCATTCTATCATTGCCATCACAACGAGGTATCAACTCTGATTCAATGAAGGAGAGCACGCCATGATCAAGACCAGGCACACCTAAAAATGACCTCCGGATGAAGCTTTAGTAAAGGACTACTTGCATCCTAAACAGCGGAAACAGCATAAGAAAGACACAGCTAAATAATCCCACAGTCAAAAGATCAGTTCTAAGTCCCGCAGTCTTGCAGCACTAGCTGCGAATGATGACAGACAATTAAACAATTAAGAGGAGGCAGAGACTCCACGAATAATGGATGAGCCCAGCATTTCAGTGCAGAAGATGAAGTGAAGTTGGTTGCAAATACTTCAAATCAGAAGTGCCAAGTGGGTGATCCATCTCAGCCTCTCCGATAATTCAATTCACTACACATAATATTGACAAACATCTAAGATATCTCTGAAGGCAGTGGGCCCTGAAATATCTAGGCAATCGCACTAAAGACTTATGTTCCAGAATTAGCTGTGGCCCTGCACAAGCTGTTCCAGTCTTGCTGGAACACTGGCACCTCTTGGCAATGTGGAAAATTGCCACAAAAAGCATGAAGTAATGGAAGGGTTCACCAACAGTACTATCAAGCAGTACTTGCTAGGTCATAACCCTCTCATTGACTCTCAATATGGGTTCTGCCAGGGCCACTCAGTTCCTGACCCAATCCAGTCCTGATATAAACATGGGCAAAAGTTAAATTCAAGAGAATAGGTGAGAGTGGCTGTTCTTAACATCAAGGCTGCAGCTGACCAAATATGGCATCAAGGAGCTCGAGCAAAATTGTAGCTGATAGGAATTGGTGGAAAACCCTTTCCTCTGGTTGGAGTCGTATGGGCATGAAGAAAGGTTATTGTGGTGGTGAAGCTGTCTGTGTCCATGTGCACGGACAGCGGAACAACATTCAGGCTTGAACTGATAAGCGGCACATGATATTTGAGTGATGCTCAAATGCCAGACAGTAGCTATCGCCAAAAAGCTGTTATTCCTCTCTCTGTTATAACTAAAAGCTTGGGTTCTTTTCCTGCTGCTAGAATTGCATGTAAAACAGTCTTATTTTATTGAATAAAAACCAAAAGAACTGCGAATGCTGTAAATCAGGAACAAATCAGGAACATCCTATCGTTTACTCCCTACCCCAGCCACCTCCCTATTTTCTGCATATAAACTGATGTTTTCCCAGCCACCATCAGTTCTGAGGAAGGGTCACCGGACCCGAAACATTAACTCTGTTTTCTCCTCCACAGATGCTGCCAGACCTGCTGAGCTTTTCCAGCAAGTTTGTTTTTGTTCCTTATTTTATTGAACTTGCCTTTGCCAAGGATGTGTTATGAGATGTTGCTATATTGGAACAGCTGCTGTTTACTGGTTAAATAATCCATTATTCTGTTAAGTTTTCTGATAGAGTTATGGTATTCCAATTCATATTTCTTTTGTTTGTATTTTAACTATAGTAGAAGAAAAAAGTGTTTTGCTTCTAGCTTAGTAGTTTGACCAATCAAATTACATCTGGAACACAACACCTTACATTTGCTTTTAAAAATAAGAAAAAGTTGGGGTCTAGGCCATCTTCTTAATATATTATGAGAGGGTTTAGTCTGGTCCATAACAATAGCCTATTATTTAACTTTGGACAGCATACTTGGAGTTTGGAAGACTTTACTGGACCCCTCAATCAATGCACACCTATCTGTGTGATGGACATACTACTGATGAATGAGCATCTCTTGTAACACAACTGGAGCAACATAATAGTAGCTGCAAGAAAGTGCATTGTTATATGCATACACATACATTCATATACATTTGGAGCAGGACTAGGCCACTGAACCCTCAGGCCTGCTCTGTCATTTGATAAAATCATTGCTGATCTAATTTTAGTTTCCACTTCACTTTCCCACATACCCCTGGTAACATTTGACTCCCTTGTTAGTCAAGAATGGATTTATCTCTGCTGCCTTAAAAATATTCAGTGATCCTGCCTACACCAGTCTCGGTGAAGAAATTTCTAAAGACTCAGGGCCTTCTGAAAGAAAGATTTAAATGAAAGACCCCTTATTTTAAAACTCAGTATCCAGCATGCCAAATCTCCTCTGACATATTCTTCTAAATGTCAACAGATACAGGCCTAGCCTGTCCATCCCTCTCTTATGAGGTAAACCCTGCATTTCAGATATCAGTTGAGTGTAGCTTCCTAAACTGCTTCTAACATATATATCCTTTCTCAAACGAGGAGACCAAAACTGTACAAAGTCCTCCAGATGTGGTCTCATCATTGCCTTTTACAGTTGTATAAAAACACCCCTACTTTATATTTCATTCATCTTGCAATAAATTATAACATTCCATTTAACTTCCTGATCATTTATTGAACCTGCATATGACTCATATACCAGATCTCTTTTCACCTCAAAGCTCTGTACTCTGTCTCATTTTAAATAATATGCTGCTTTTCAGTTCTTCCTGCCTAAGTGGAAAAGCAGCATATTATTTAAAGAGTTCACATTTTCCAACATTATATTCTGTCTGCCATTTTTTTGCCCAGTCAGCTAACCTATCCGCGTTCATTTTGCAGACTTAATGACCTCTTCACAACTCCCTTTTCTACCTATCTTTGTGTCATGCAAGTCGTACTCCTGACCACAACAGGGAGGGTGAATTGTGCATTGTCAGCCTCACTCTCATCCTGACCTGGCTTGATCCAGTGTCAAGATGAGTCTAGAATGATGGCTGGAGATAGATTTGGACACAGTGAGTGAGTAGGACTTCTCTATTATGTTGAGCTGTATACATTCCATAACATGGTAATGACCTACTTCAAGTCTATTGGACCTTAGAAAGACCTTATCCATCCAGTCCACTGGAATCTATCTTTGCATGCCAAGATAGATAAATCTTGAGGACACTGAGGGTAGGAGATCCATGGCTACACTCACCAGGTTGTCCCACCTATTAAAGCAGTTTGTGAAGATGTGGTTGGTGTTGCATGTCAACATCTGTTTGGAGTTGTGAGTGAGAAAGCGGTGATCAATATAAGATTAGCCAAGCTAAAGAGTGTGATGAGCCTGCCTGTGAGTGCTGTTACTCCTCTCTTGCAACCAATACTGACAATACGCTACTCCCCCTCACTGTAATTGGATTCACATGCAGCTTATGTTCTTTATCTTTCTGTTACCTGTTATCCACCATCTATCTGCCATAAATCCTGTGGTGATGAATGAAGGAAGTAGCAGTAGGTGTGGAATCACAGGAAGCTGTAGTCACAAACGGCAGAATCATCTTTCACCGGGAGGAAGCAGAATTGGAACTTGATGCCCACCCCCAGGAGACTGAGTAGTCCACTCCAGGACCGCATTTCTCATCTCCCTACTATGAAGTG